CCTCTCCATCAACATGTAAAATAATAAAATCCAGTGGGAGGTCTACTCTAACAAGCACCACGGTTTTGTAGAAGTGATGAGCTGACACGGCATTTCAAGAATGGCAGCACTGAAGGGTTATGAAAACACCATGATCTCTGCTGGAGATAAAGTCACAAGAGTGATGGTATTGCTGTGGTCTGGGGACCACATTCGTAACTGACGGAAATACCACATTTTAGTTCCAGTTAGTGGAAACTAAGATTTTCCCCCCAATCTGAGTTCATTAACCTCTGAATCATCCCTGTGGCCCCAGGACACTACACTGAGGGACAGTCACAGACCCGGTTAGCTTATTTAGCACTTACCCGAGCATTACTGCCCTTACCACCTCATCTTACAGATGGGGAAACTGAGCCTGGGAGCAATGAAGGTGACTTGGGTAGAGGCAGCCTCTGGCAGGGAGGGGAAGGCTGTGGGCGTTGAACGTAGGCTTCCTCCGCTAAAGCTGACACTCCCCCTCGCCTGCCAACGCCGGCCGCCTCCTCTGAGCTGGCCATCCACCGGGGGCAGAGCGGGCACGCCCTTCACTGTTACTGTGGCGGGCTCACCGCGGGGCCCCTGCACCGGGCTGCACCACTGGGCGCGCCCCTCAGCAGCGCTGTGGTTCCCATTGCTCTCTCGAACATCGGCTCCTGGAAGGAGCCCAGCACTGAGTGTCAGGCACACCGCACACTCCCACCTGTGCCTGCTGAGTCACGGGTGGGCCAGACCCAAGCCTGGGCTTCAGGCTCCAGACCCCAGAGCCCCCCATCGCACACCACTGTTTGTTCCCTCAACACCCACACCCAGCTGTGAGGAATGCCACAGCCCCCTAAAAGGATGACATAAACCACGGGCAGGGGCACTGAGGAACAGGCCAAGCCTGCCCGATCGAGTGAATTGAGAGGGCTTCCTGCAAAGAGTGAGTTCTGAGATAGACTTTCCAACTTTTAAATTATGAATATGCTGGCCTGGCCGGTGTGGCTCAGTGGTTGTGTCAACCCATGAACCAGGAGGTTGCCAGTTCGATTCCTGGTCAGGGGACTTGCCCTGGATTCCGGCTTGATCCCCAGTGGGGGGCATGCAGAGGGCAGCCGATCGATGTCTCTCTTTCTCATCAATGTTTTTCTCTATTTTTCCCTTCTCCTCTCTCTAAAATCAATAAAAACATATTTTTTTTAAATTATGAATATGCTCAAACACGCAGAAAAGTTGAAAGAATAGTGCAATAAACTCCCATAAGTTCTCCCTAGATAAAATGATTGTCAGCATTTTGCCACGTTGCCCTGCGTGTGTAACGTGTGCACTTACATGTAACATTCTCTGAGGGATTTGAATGTAGGACATTGCAGGCGGTATGCCACGTCAGCCATGAGCCTCCTAAGGGTGGGCTATTTGTCAATATTCCCTTATAACCAAAATACAATTTTTATACCTAAGAAAATCAATACTTATTCCCTAACCTCCAGTTCATATTCAAACTTCCCCAACTGTCCTCATTTTTTCTTTTTTTTAAAAAATATGTCTTTATTGATTTCAGAGAGAAGAAAGGAGAGGGAGAGAGAGAAACATCAATGATGAGAGTGTCACTGATCGGCTGCCTCCTGCACGCCCCCGACTGGGGATAGAGCCCGCAACCCGGGCATGTGCCCTGACCGGGAATCGAACCCCGATCACCTGGATGCTAGGTCGATGCTCAACCACTGAGCCACGCCCAGCAGGGCCTCACTTTTTCTTAACCGAGGATTCAGTCAATGTTCAAGCATCAAAGGGAGGCTGTAGGCGCTGCCGACTGACTGGGAAGCAGGCATTCCTCCCGGGAAGGTTCCAGAGTCACCATGTGTGCGCCACCGTGGCCGGCAGCGAGCAGGAGTGAGGAGCCTTGGAGCTTTCCCTGGGGAGTTGGGCTCTGCCACGGGGTTAATGCAGAACACGGGGGCAGAATCTCAAGTGCGCAGAGCACCCAGCCGAGCCCACCCCTGCTGTTCTGGTGAACTTCTGGGTGTCTTTATCTGACCACACCTGCCATCACCTTCCTCCCCAGACACTAGTCACAACTCAAACTCACACAGGGCTCAGCTGTGGGTCAGGTCCTGGGGAGACCCTAGGACAAACCAGCCACCTCTGTGGTCTGTCTGGCCAGCTGACTCTCTGCCCTGTTCTCCCTCCCTCCCTCCTGCTCCCTCCTGCTCCCTCCTTTGCCCTTAAGAGCTTAATCAGACCTGCCCTAGAGCCTCCTGGGAGAACAGAGACAGAGCCGGGCAGAGACCCCATCTCCGGCAAAGCCTCCAGCTCTGGCCAGGGTTGGAAGGAAGAAAATTCAGAACATGCCCCTGTCCCCGTGAGACCCCTCCACCTGGGCCAGAGAAGCTAAGAGCCCACTGAACCCAGGACTCATGTGGGGTCACCCCACCCAGTCCCTGCCATCTGACATGGGTTGAGCACCTGTCTCTAGAGGCCAGCTCAGATCAGGGGCACAAGCCTTAACCTGGGAAGAGGGTCCCTGCCCCGGGATACGCTCTGGCTTTCTTCTGGCCGAGCCACACCTGCGGTGAGGAGTCCAGGAGATTAAGGAGACTTGTCTTTAGCTAAGGCAATTGGCTGTTCAAGTCTCCGTGTAAGTAGAAAATTGGATTTGTGCCACTCTAGGAGGCAACTTCTACCCCATAATAATGCTTCCACTTGTGTCTGATTCTCCAGCATCAACAGTTCATTTCCCTGGGCAAAGCATTGCAGGAGCAGGGTGCTGGGAGGGCCGCCTGGAAGTGTGTGTGTCCTCAGCAGGTGACACGCGCCTCACAGCCACGTTGAGACTGAGTTCCTGGAACCTCTTTACTCCTCATCAGGAGAGGATTCATGGAAGAGGAGCTCCCTGGAGGGGAAAAGGCACAGAAAGGGGAGGTGGGGCACCCCAAGACCCACTCAGATTTAGTCCAAGAATGGCACTTACTTCCACTGCTGTCAGGGGCACAAACCCTGACAGGCAGCAGGGCATGCCTGAAATGGCCACTCATTCACCCATCCATCCACCCATTTACCCACCCACCTATCTATCCAACTCCTACTAAGTACTAATGTGACAGATAATGAAATTCAGAGTCAAAGAACTCATTCCCTTTGGTCTTGTCACTACCTCTTCCTATCTTAGGCGGGATTTTGGTACTAGGAGCCTTAGTAATGCATTTGTGGGGGAATCTTTATGTTTTGGGATTAGTATAGCTACTTACACATGGCCATTTACCAGTAGATGAAGCTAAGGAAAACTGATTTTCTTAGAAAAAGTAACGAAGTACATCATAAAATACCTTCGTATTTCACTTCCAAGTTCTGTGGCTGTAAATAAAGCTCCGTCCGCTGAGCTTAAAGGCGAACCCCAGAGGAGCGACTAGGAGCTCAGTGCTCAGAGGCAGACGGCTGGCCAGCGAGATGAATGTATTTCATTATCTGGAGCCTATTCCATAGGCATAATTAGAACTCCTTTGAGAAGTCAACTAATTATGTAATATCCAACAGAATATGTGAGGGTTTCATTCTGGCACTGAGCAGAATCTATCAAGCTCTGTTTAATTTATGGTTTCCTATTAGAAGGGGAGCAAACAGGACGAGCCATTTCCACAGCAATGGTTTCTGATTAGTACCAGCAGATAATACGAAGAGAGAACATACATCTTCCCCTTGGGGCATCGCTGGAGAAGAGGCAGCTTAGATCAGCCCCATATATTATTAGATGTCCCAGTCACCCTACAGAAACACAGCTGCAGGTGTATTATTTCTGGCTGGGACAAGGGTACTGTGAGGGATCAGCAGAGACATCAAGCCAGCAACCTTTACTGGCTGGCTCGTTTCTTCCTTTCTATATATAGTCTGTAGGGAGCAGGGTGATGTGGTCCCAGCATCAGAGGCTCCAGAAGAAGCCTCCTAT